CTAAATGAATAGGGATGAGCATTGGAAATTCCTAGATATGATCAATTGTGAATGTAAATATGAATGCATTTTTATTACGGCTGCACCTTGATGTGAGGTTGCCTACGTATCCGTTAGGAATCAGACCAAACATAGCTCCAGCCGAACCTCGCACAAGTGTGTGTATACCTCGAAAAGGTCTTTTTAAGGGTTGTAACGTGGTTAGGCTAAAGGTTGAAGAAGAAGGGGATAAAAGACTTAAGACCCTAGATAAGCCCCCAAGGTGTGCAACTTTGCTTTTGAATATTTGTTTTTTCATGCTTGAGGTTTCTCACTCTTTTTTAGCTCTTTTTTTCTTTTTTGCTTTTGTATTTTTTTTTTTATTTTGAACCTTTTTTTTATAAGTGTGGGCAATCCCGATCATGCGGTCTATCACTCACTTGGCATTCATGTTTCTTAGGCACGTTACCGAGCACTCGATAAGAGACGCAATCTAAGACGTGTTCATATCAAAGACATTTTCATGTCAAAGACATTAGAGCACTTGCCCATTTGTACACTTTTATTTATTTTTTATAGATTTTTTTATTTTGATATTTTGAAATCACTCAAGATTTTTAGATTGCATAAGTTGCACACTGTCCCATCCCATCCTAAGGTTACGTAAATGTAGGTTGAAGAAACAAAGGTCTATCGTTATACAAGGCTCAGAGTGGTTTATCAAAAAAGGATTTCATGTTTGAAGGGTGAAAGGTGATATGATGTGGCTACAAGGGGTGCCTCAAATCATTGGTGTTAGTTGAGATGATTAATACAAGAGGGGGGTGAATTGTATCGAGTTCCTAATGTGTACTTTTGCGGAATAATAAAACAATGCATGTAGGAACTTGCAAGAACACACATATTTTACGAGGAAACCTTCCAGGGCCCAACTGGAAGTAAAACCTCGACCCTACCTTAGGGATTTCAAACACAAACCACTTCACTATAATAGGGCAAACACTAAGTTACAACCTATTATCACAGACGTTTAAACACAAGTTCCACACTTGCTACTTGATAGGACCCTATCCTACCCAATCTAAGTACCACACTTAGATTCACTCGTACTGCCAAAGTACAAAACTCTCAGCTTCACACTAGAATCCTACACAACCCGTATGCGATATAAAAAGATAACAAACTCAGCCTAATAACCCAACCAATACAAATGTATGACACCTAGTATATGATAGGCAAGCTATGCACGAAATCCGAAACTAATATGACAAGTTAGAAGCTTGGTAATCTTACTCTATTAAAGCTTAGTGATTTCTCTGCGCATCAACTCGCAAAAACCTTAAACCATTTCGATCTCTACTATTTATACAAGTATGACTTGTATAGAAAGTAGGTTTTCTAAAGGATAAAAAAGTTAACTTAACTTATCTTTAAAACACGGTTTTATAAAAATCATATTTGAAAAAAATCTTTTCCGGAAAAAATAAGATAGAAAGATATTGTTAAAAGAATCATATCTTTTAACAAACCGATTTTAAGAAATAAAGTCTTTTAGAAAATCTTTTCTAAAATCTATCTTTTATATTTTTCTTATCAATTTATTTACCAAGCAAACTTGCCACGCTTCTAATAAATCTCGTGCATTAACCTACTTAACATATTAACAATACTCTAGAAGATTAAAACCTTAGCTAAATTAAATTGCTACACCGTGCTTCTGTACAGGTAGGTTACTTGGGTTCCACGCAGACTAAGTTCCTCCAGGGATCCTTGCTTGCTGACTTCAAGTTCCTGTTAGGGAACTGAGTTCTTGTTAGAGAACTCTTCTTCTTTTCTATTTAACTTTTTGTATAAAGATCTCCTCATGTCTTCTTAGTTCCATTTACTTCTTCCATCACCACGATCAACTTCACCTAAACTAATCAAATACTTGAAAACCTTTATTAGATGATTTTGCTTTTGTTTAAGTTCCTCATCATCAACACCTTTAGGCTTTAATAATTTCCCCCTTTTTGATGATGACAAACTTAAGAGAACTCTTGAGAAAAGTTAAGCAAAATAGAAGGACGTATTTTTGTATTTTTGATTTTTTGACAAAAAGATAAACACACAAATAACTAAAAATACAAAAATAAGAAAGAAAAGATAAACAAAATAAACATAAATAAGACTAAGAAATAAACTAAAACAAACATAAATAATACTAAGAAATAAACTAAGCTACTTAGCATCATATTAGAAGAGATTTCTGATACTTTATCTACTGGCACCCGAAACAACTTTTGCTTCCAAGTTTGTTTCTTCTTTTCCCCCTTTTGGCATTATCAAAAAGTCCTACTTTTTCAAGTTTATTGAACATCTAGCCACAGCCCCACAAGCAATTCATCGAGTGTAGGAAACTGAAGGCAGCGCTGCTAACTTCCCTTAAGTTCCACTGTCCTGCAACAGTTTCATAATGTACGAATACACACATGTATAGGTAGTTCCAAAAGCATTCATTAGAACCCAAAATAAACATCTTGCTGAACAACTTTTTACAAAATCAAAATAAAATTGTTTAGAAACCTAAAAACATAAACTGAATATTTTCATGACTGAAATAAGTAGGGCTGGGATAGGCTAAATAGGCTAGGTTGAGAATCAGGTCTGAAGAAGTTCAAGAATCTTCATGTTGTCCTCCTTTGTTTGATGTGTAGAGGCCTCCAGCTAGTCTTTCATACTCTTGATAACCATCTAGAACTCCTCCTTCTGAGATCTGAGATTGCTCACAAGTTTCTGCACAGTTTTCTCCAATTTTTGCACCTTCCCAATGACAGCCTTGATCTTCCCCCTGACTTCCTTAATCTGCTTCTCAGCAGTTTCAACTCGATCAGTAAGCTCTGACACATCCCAACCAGAACCTTATCTCGTTTAGTTTCAAGCTCCAGAGGTTCATCCATGCTTGTCTTAGGAACTGAGCAGGGCAGACAATCTCCTTCTCTTCCTCACAAGCTGCTCTGGAACCTCTTTCCCTTTACTTTTTCCTCCTACGCTCTCTTTCTCTTCTACTCTCCTCACTTTCCCATTCATTGCCTCCAAACTGATTCCCTATAGTGTCTCACCATTTATAACATTCTCGGGTTTTTCTTCTAAATCTACATAGACCCCTTTCAATTTTACACCAAGTGACTCAAAAACGGTTGACAACATAGCTCCATAGCCCACTTTGTTCTTTCCTGGAACACAATGTGCTAGATATTGATACATTAGTGAAGGAAAGTTCACTTTGATTTTTCTAGAGAGACAGAAGATGACATCCATATCCATCAAACATGCTTCACTCTTCTTTTGAGTTATAGGTAGAATTTTTTCGAACCAAGTTGAATAACAACTTGTTCAGTTGGCTAAGATCATTGTTGTTCATGATATTTTTCCCCCTTTTTCCTCCTAGGGCTTCATCAATATCACCCCCTAAATACTCGCCTACTTTCACAGTTCCCTTTCCCTTAAGGTACATCTCATAACCCTCAGTTGGTACTTTCAAAACTTTTCCCAATTTTGCAACATCAAACTCAATTTTCTTTTTGTTAACTACACTAGATATTTTTCCTTGTTTCACTTGGAATTTTCCACAAAATTCAGTCATTGCAGCAGGATACATAAAATTATTTGAAGCATTAGTTAACAAGTACTCCCACCCTTGAAATTTGATTAAATCAAGAAATTCCAAAAAGCTAGACTTCTTCCACTAAGATTAATCTTGTCTATGACCAACAATATACCTCTTAGCATCGGCATTGAGTTTTCATTTCTCACCATCATCCTCTTCCTCAGCTTCCTCTCCGTTCTCATATTCATTTTGTTCCTCTCCTCCTTCCTCTCTTCCATCGTCTTCATCATCATCTGACGTAACCCCTTTAGCAAAATCATCAACCACTGTCATTTATCCTTTGAGTGTTTCTCCTCTCAACTTCTTTTCTTTCCGTTCTTCGATCCTCTAAAAAACAGAGGATTCCTCTTGTTCACTCTTGCTTTTTGCTTCTTCGTTGAGTTTAGGATTTGACATTGAAGGTTTTGGGTTTTCTGAGTCTTTGATTGATGTTGGAGAAGTCTTATAGTTTACAATGGCTAAGGGAGAGGTTTCTTCTTGGATTGTTCTTTTGAAGTTGTGTGAGTTTTCTGATGAAACAATCTTGGCAATAATAACCATGGTTTTTGACTGGTGGTTTTGAGCTTTGATGGTTTTTACTGAAGAAAGGTTAAAGTGATATGACAGTGAGGTGAAAGTGGTGGGTGAAAGATGCTTTTATAATTAATGAAGCGGTGTAATGGAAATTATTGGGTTCACTGTTCATTCATTTAATTGAACATGTTCAATTAATTTTGTAAAATCATTTAGGTAGAATGAATTTGCCAAAAATCTTTTCTTTCAAAATTCAAATCATTTAAAAAAACTATCTGAAAATAAAACGCGCAATAGGAACACGCTTTCTACACATATGCAATGTACATTAGTACTGATTATTACATTTAAGCATTTAATGAACTTACCTCTAGTAATTAACAACGGTGACACTTCAGCTATGTTTATCACACTAAGATTGTGCTAAATGCTCTTTTTACTCTATTTACATTATTTTTGACTTCTCCATATCTTGGAACTTCATAAGCACTCAACTTAGCTTGATCATCCCAAGTTCCAGTGTCAATTTCTCAAATCTTTCTCTACTCAAGGGCTTTGTTAGAATATCTGCAATTTGATTTTCAGTATGACAAAATTCTAACTTAATATTCCCTTGCTCCACGTTATCTTTTAAAAAGTGATGCCTAATGTGGATACGTTTCACCTTTGAGTGTTGAACTGGATCCTTAGAAATACAAATAGCACTGGTATTATCACAGTAAATACGCTTACATTCAAAAATAATACCAAAGTCTCTAACTTGTTGCTTTATCCAAAGTACTTGTGAACAACATGCTGCATCTGCCACGTTCTCAGCCTCAACTGTAGACATTGCAACTGTGTTTTGCTTCTTGGAACCCTAAGAAACTAAACTAGGTCCTAAAAACTGTACCATACCTGAAGTGCTTTTTCTATTGACTAAATCACCTGCATAGTCAGCATCAGTAAATCCATTTAAATCAAATAAGTCACTTCTAGGATAGAAGAGACTCAGATCATCAGTCCCTTTTAGGTATCTAAGGATTCTCTTTACTGCTTTCAAGTGAGACTTCTTTGGGTTTGCTTGGAACCTGGCACACAAACCTACACTAAAAGATATGTCAGGTCTACTAGCTGTTAGATAAAGTAAAGAACCTATCATACCTCTATACATAGATTGATCAACACAAGTTCCAGTTGTATCTTCGTCCAATCTGGTTGTTATACCCATTGGACTGTTATTAGTCTTAGCATTATCTAGCTTGTATTTCTTGATCAGTTCCTTGATATATTTTTGTTGATGGATCATGATTCCTTCTTCAGTTTGCTTGATTTGCAATCCGAGGAAGAATTTTAATTCTTCCATCATGCTCATTTCAAATTCTCCACTCATAAGATCAGCAAAATACTTGCACAAAGATTCATTAGTTGCACCAAAAAAAATATCATCAACATAAATTTGTAAAACTAATATGTCAGTTCTATTTGATTTTAAAAACAAAGTTTTATCTATTTTACCACGTTTAAAACCATTTTCCAGTAGGAACTTATACAGTCTTTCATACCATGCTCTAGGAGCTTGCTTCAGCCCATAAAGAGCTTTGTCAAGCTTATAGACATGGTTTGGGAACTCTGGATTTTCAAATCCAGGAGGTTGTTCCACATAGACTTCTTCATTTAAAAATCCATTTAGAAATGCACATTTAACATCTATCCGGAACAACGTGAATCCCATATAAGCAGCAAAAGCAATAAGTAAACGAATAACCTCTAACCTGGCCACTGACGCAAATGTTTCTTCATAGTCTATTCCTTTTTGTTGATTGAAACCCTGAACCACAAGTCTTGCTTTGTTCCTGAAAATAATACCATGCTCATCTAGCTTGTTCCTAAACACCCACTTTAGACCTATAGTCTTCTTATCCTTGGGTCTAGGTTCCAGATGCCAGACTTTATTTCTTTCAAACTCATTTAATTCAGCTTGCATAACATTAATCAAGTCGGCGTCAGTTAAAGCTTCAACATAGTTCTTCGGTTCCATAGAAGAGAGGAATGCATAGAATACAGAGAAGTTTCTAAGCTGCGATCTAGTCTTATTTCCTTTTATAATATTGTAGACATCTAAAAATGTCTTCCCAAAAAACCAAACCCGATGATGAACAACCTTTCACCACCACTATTGGTCGGTTCGGTATTTAATCCCGAGAGTGCTTAAAAAATTGTTTTTAGTAAATTCATATTTTTGAACAATCCATGGATTAGTCTTGATGTTTGGTAAAAGCATAGTTTTAATTTCAGCCCAAACTTATTAATTAATTTTAGCCCAAACCTTTTTTATTTTTTGTGTTTTGGCCCAAACCTTATATTTATATTTATTTAATTATTTTCTTATTTTAGCCCAAATAATATAAGTCAGAAAAAGCGCGAAATTATCAATCGGCACTTAAAATGCCGAAAGAAATTAGGGTTAAAAATGTATTTAGACGGAAAAATGGACTGGAATTTCTCGCGCCAAGGCAGGTACTTACCGTGTCACGGGAATCCTTCCCGTCTGACGGTGGGATTTCCCGTGACACGAGAAGTCTGCCGTGACACGGGACATTCCGTCTCTTTTCCGCGTAAACCCTTAATGCGTTTTTATCCCGTTTTCTGAAAATTTCCCGCGTCACACCAAAAATGTATCGTGTCACGGGAAAGTGTACCGTCTAACGGTGGAGCTTCCCGTGTCACAGTACAGTTTGACCTTGTCACGGGATACTTTTTTAGGGTTTTTATCATTTTAGGGTTCCGTGTGCTCCCTCAGCACATTTTCCCTATATATACCCCCTCATTTCTAATGAACGGGGCACCGAGTAATTCTCTAATTTTATTCTCCTCTCTTCTATTCTTTAGCCTAAACACTAGCCTACCCTTTTTACTTCAAAATTCCTTCTTCAAGTACTCAAAAGAGTCCATACTTTACTCGTGGTTCTATCCTTAAACCAAGGCGTGAAAGGTAGAATTGTTTGAGGGTTTGGCCCCAAAATCAACTTTACTTTATTTAATTTAATTTAATCATCATTTTATTATTTCCTTGGAGTTACTAACTTGTTTATTATTTTGTAGTTGCAAACAAACTGAATCAAAGTAAGGATCATGCTCCTTTTATTTTTATTATTTTTCTAACGAATTTATGTTGTTGGAATTGTGATTAATTTGGTTTTCATATTAATGTTGTTCTACTATTTTTATTTATGATCACCATATTGCATGTTTAAAAGGAATATGTAATTGAAAATCACGCCTAATAAGATAATTTGGACATCCGGTTTAGGATCCTTTTTAATCTTGTTAATTAATTCAAGTGATCACAAATATTCTAGAATTATGTGTGCATTAGTATTCAACCAATTTAGTTAAATAATAGTTTGGAGCGAATTGAATTACTGTTTGTATGCCTGTGAGATCATAGGAATGCTTTTCATTATAAAAATCGAGTACAAGCCAATACGGGCGAATCTGACTCCATGACTCACTTCGTACCATCATCCTCGATCCTCCTTTCGTGGTTCCGAGCCATGCGGAGTAAGTTATCTCATGGATTATGAATGGGGTGTAACCTTCACGGGTCAATCGTTGTTGCCTATCGTTGTCCCTTTATCGTGGTTGCCTTTTTATGATCCGTGAACGGTTTACAAGTTCCTTAAAAACTTGTTGGCGGCTCCCTACTTTATTTGTCCCTAATCGTATTATGTCAATTCCCACTTCCTATGAGTGCCAAGCATATTCACCACATGTTTTTAACGTAGGCGCACTTCGAGCGACGCCTAAAATTTGGCGACTCCACTAGGGAGGATTCTTAATTATTTATCGATTTGAGTGATCGGTATTTAATTAAGATGAGTGGATGAGATTTGAAAGATTCTTGAAAAAATATTCCTGTGATTAGTTTGGCATTTTTGCATCTGCATAGACGTTTTAACGTCGCATTAAGGTCTGTCCCGTAGGAAAAATTGCATAACTTGGTTGCGCGCGAAGGAAAATAGGGCACCAGTCAGATCTTCTGACTGCCGTGCCACGGCAGAATCTGCTGTGTGTCACGGTACAATGCATCGTCTGAGGGGGCACAGTACCGTGACATGGGAATTTTTTCCGTGTCACTGCAGTCCTAAAATCAGTCCGGTGGCTTATTTTCTTTCCTCACAGTCGACTTCCTTCGATTTTTCTGAAAAAACGTATGTGCTCTACATGCGTCTTAGCCCCGGAGAATTTAAGCTCTATCGACCCAAAAACGCTCATGGCACTAAGGGTTCATCCGAGCTATTAAATTCACCCAAACCATGGAGTCGAGTTCGATTTCATCACGAACTCGCGGAGCCGCCCGTTGGCATACACCCTCAAAGGAGGCTGCCTTGCTAACGCGTCCAAACTCTTAACCATGGTACCCTTTTGACACCCAAAGCTTGACCAATAGTTGAACATAGATCTTGACTCTAGGTTGCGAACTTTTTTTCATTATTGTGCCTAAATGCTATGTGGTTGTTTGGTGCTAACCTTCATGTGTTTGCTCTTTTGTTTAACCCATGACCGAATATTTTTATTCTCACATAGTAATTAGTATGGATCTAAAATCGGTTAAAATATGGAAAAATCACAAAACTGACCTGGAACTGCGCACCGTGTCACGACATGTTCTGCCGCGCCACGGTGAACATTGCCGTGACACGGGGCTGTCTACCGTTTGACGGTAGACTGCACCGTGTCACGACAGTCTGCACCGTGACACGGTGCCCAGGAAAGTGTTATGTCAGTCTTTTTTTTTCGATTTTTGTGTGAATGATGTGTCCAGTTTGGTGTCATTTCTAGCTATACGGTCAAAACACGCGTCTATAACCTCACTTAATCACTCACCTGTCGTGTTCACACACTTTTTTGCTTTAAGTCGTGCACCACTTTTTTTTTACCGTATTTTAGGGAAGTCTTGTTTTTGTGTCGTTTTTTTTTTCGGGGTAAGTCAGATGGTATCCTCCCATATGTTTTTTTTCTTAAATTTTTTTTTCAAAATTATAGATTTTTATTAAAAAAAATAAAAAAATTTCTTCCGGATGGGTTAAGGTTAAGTTTGGTCATTAAAGGTGTGTTTGTTTCGGTGTCACAGCACTTGGTCAAGAAGCAGGGGTAGATTGTTACGGTTCGAGTCCATACCTCAACAACCTCTTATACCAAAGAGGCGTACAAAGAAACCACCTCAATCATCTCCACAAGATTCATCTCCAGTCTACTTTCAACCAATGGCCACTAAGGAAGACATCGAGAACCTCAACAGGACAATTGAAAGATTGTCTGACATGATGTAGACATTCACCACTAGATTCAGCACTGTAGAACAAGACAATCAAAACAATGTCACTACTACTGCAATGGACAAGATTAAGGAACAGATGAGCAAGATTTGTGAAGAGTTCACTTATGTGGAACAGCCTGTCACCTCTTCGTCCATAAGAGACAAGCTTCCTGAGAAGTTTTCCACTGCTGACATTCCCAAATTCAAGCCTACTGATAATCCGCTGTTCTGTTTGAAGGCTTTTTCTGCAACTATGGCTCTTAAGGGAGTAGATGTGACACTCTTCCCTATAGTGTTCCCTCTTTCCTTAGAGCATGCCGTTCAACAGTGGTTCTATTCTTTGGAATCCAAACATGTCGCGACCTGGGAGGATGTTGCTGAAAGCTTTATGAAATCGTTACAAGTGTAATATCCAAGCCAAGACTTCAGAACGTGAACTCTCCATTCTCAAACAGAAAGACAATGAAGGCTTCACCACTTACTTAAGCAGGTGGAGGGAAACAGCTGCGCTCCTGGTGGATCCTCCCAAGGAGAAAGAAATGGTTCGCTTGTTTATTGCCAATCTGACTCATAAGTACAAGCAACACTTGAAGTTTCTGCCTCTGAGTACCTTTGAAGCTGTATACGATATTGGAATCAATATCGAGGATGAGCTAACGAAGTTTGTTGGTAGCAACAATAACAACAACACTTGGAAAAACAAGAAGAACGACACTCCTTCTTCTTCGTCTTCTAAGCCCAATAATGCTACCAACAATATCAGCATCAATGATGTGCTGGCCCTCAATGCTCCTCCTCAAAGATTCCAAAGGCAAAGGAGGGTTTACACGCCTTTGGGAATGACTTACGATGCTGCTTATGACCGTTTGCATGGTCAGGGACTGATTATGCCAATCGGACCATTTCCAGAACCTCGACCTGAGAATAGGACCGCTAGCTATGACCCCAATGCTTATTGCAAGTTTCATCAAGGCAAGGGTCATAATACTGAGAAGTTTTGGAGGGTGAAGGATGCAATCCAAGACCTGATCGATGCTAATCAACTTCCTGTC